ACTCAAACTTTAAAAGTTGTAACACAACCCAAATAAATAGTCTCAAAACCATGTATCAAAATCCACAAAAATAGTAAAACTTGGAAGTGTAGGACCAATTTTTTTGGACACGGTAGTCTTTTCCTATGGTTATTGGAAAGTAATGCTACCTTTTTGAAAAAAAAGTATATGATGTAAGGTGAGATTTTAAATCTGTGAATGAAAATTAAAAAAATTTCAAATCATAATCTGAAAAATCATTAGCAGTTGAACCACTAAAATGGATGGTATATTGAAGATTGAACTGCCCAAGAACATAAGATAAATGTTTTTCTTCTCTCTTACCATCATATCATGGCCTCTATTTATAAGAGTTGCATTAGAGGGTTTGTAATCCCTCTTAAGTCTTCCCAAGTGAGAAACTATCTCAACTCTCTCATTCAGCAGATCAATAGGAGACTGCATGGTTCCATTGTTACACATGCTCCATTCTGGATGAATCTCTCCCCAACGCTCCGGTCCATTATCGCTGCCTGGTACATAACTGAACTCGCTCTCATCCTCTGCACCATATATCAAGAGCAACATAATGAAGACGAAGAAAAAACTAAGCATATATATGCTATGGAAACTCTTCACTAATTTTGCTCAAACAAGGAGAAAAACAGCAGTTTTTAAAAAAACCAACGTAGCTCAACACGAGCCCAAATAGCTCGGGAAATTTTTGAGCATGTCTTGAACTCTGTTGTATATCTAATTTCAGTAAAAAACATGAAATGCCTTACCAACTTCTTGACATGTTGCTGGGCATGAGGCTAAGAGCAAAAGAAGAATAGTGAAGAAACCACAGAACATGATTTGCCTCATTAGTTTCTCCATAGTTTCTTCTTTTTTGGTTTTCCAAATTTGAAGCTTGCTGTGTTTGGAGGGGGTTTAACTGCTTATGTATACTATATATAGTATGAGCCAGTAATGTGGATTTGAAAAATGATATTTGAGTTTGAATTGACTGCTTTACTTTCTTCCAAAATTTTCGTAGGCAACTTTTAAATAAGTTTAGAAGTCAATTCGTCTCTTGGGTACAAATAAAAATAATGCCGGGAAAGAAGACCAGGTGGTCTTTATGATGCCTATATTTCTCTCTTCTATTTGATTAATGTCCCAGGTGACGAAACTTTGGCTGAAAACTAAGAAGGGTCTCAATTTTTTACTATAAGTCTTGGGTTGGGTGGGGGCCGGTTTGTTTAATGGTTAGATATTGAAGTTTGATCAAGTCGTTCATTGAATAGAACATTTTATTTGTAAAAAAAGAGAATAGAAAATGAATAGCAATTGTAGATTACTTTAGTGTAATCTATAATATACATGAGGAGATTTATTTATAGTATATGAGAGTTTTGAGGTTTTCTAGTTTAACTGATGTAAGATAAACATATTATAATTATATACGTTAACATCCCCTCTCAAATTCAACTAGGTAAAATAGAATCAACTTGACCAAATCATGAAATTGGCCAGACAGATGTTCCTTGGTAAAAATGTCAGTAGTCTGGTTAGATGAAAAAACAGAGAGAAGATGAACTACGCCTCAAGCCGCGTGTTGTTATACAAAATGATAATCAATTTCAATATGCTTGGTACGATAATGGAAAACATCATTGTGATCAATCTGTATCGCACTCTGATTGTCACAATAAAGAATAGTAACACTAGATCAGAGACACCTAAATCTTCTAAGAGCCAACTAAACCAAAGAAGCCCTTGGATAGTGTCAGCAAAAGCACAATACTATGACTTTGTATTGAATCGAGAGATAAACACACTATTTCTTGTTGTCATAAGAGGTGAGAGTCACTTAAAAAGAAACAGTAATCAAAGATAAAACGAAGAAACAGTAACCAAAGATAGAACGACGATCAGTAGGATATCCTACCCAATCAATATCAAAATAGGCTCATAGCTCAAGAGATAAGTGAGTAGAATAATGAAGACCATGAAATATAACACCCTTAATATATCATAGAATACGAAGAACAACAACATAATGAGTAGAGTGAGGGGCAGTCAAAAATTGGCTAATGAGATGAACAACATAGGCTATATCAGGGCGACTAATAGTTAAGAGTAACAAGACTAACTATCAACTAGTGATAAAGAGTGACATTAGGGAGAGGTGTGTCATCCAAGGGAGTAAGTCGACCATTTTACTCTAATGGGGTGGGTACAGTCTTGCAACTAGTGAGTTCAGCATGACTAAAAAACTAATATAAGATTTACTGTCATGCAACGTTTGCAAAAGAGTCCTCAAATGGTTGTCGCGGTGTTAAAACGACCAAACTAATGACTGACAGATAGTGTTAAGGTGTTCTGAAATAAAGAGATAATTTGATGGTTATTGTTTTCCCATTCTTCAAGATGATTAGCGTATTTTTTAGCCTATTTGGCCTCAAGACGAACAAGTTCCTTGATATCACTAATAACATACACTATAGTTTTCAACCTTTGAGAAAATTGGTCATAAATTGAGCCAAAGCAATGTAGTTGGAGCCTTCAAGAATGATGGAAATTGGTTGGAAAACATCAGACAGAGCCATGGTGAGATCTGGATGGTCAATGAATGATTGGAAGGTCGTTGGAGAATGATAGGGAAGTGATCGGAACGTCATCAAGGGATGACTGGAGAAGGTGATCAAAATGTTGTTGGAGGATGGCGAAGGAGATCAAAAGGTCACCGGAGGATGGCTGACTAGGCGTCAAAGGATGGTCGGAAGGTGATTGAAATGTCACCAGAGGACTACTGGAAAATCACTGGAGGTTGACTGAAAGATGAAGGTCAAGTGCGTGTCATGATGTGAAAGATCCCTCGCAAGGCAACAAGAGAGCATACTATCTCAAAGGATAGCCGAGAGTGGAAGAGTTTCAAGAGTTTTGATGTGGATGATTCCCACAGGACAACCACAAAGCATACTATCATTAGTCAGAAGGATTCACAAGCTTAAACTCTAATACCATGTGAAAGAAGAAAATAGAAAATAAATAGTCATTGTATATTGCTTTGGTGTAATCTATAATATACATGAAAAGATTTATTTATAGTATAAGAGAGTAGTAAGATTTTCTAGTTTAACTGAGGTGGGACAAACATATTATCATTATATACATTAACAATTATTTGAAAGATTAGTGGGGTTTTGGTGAACAGTCCACTTTCTTCTAAATTTTATATCCTACTTGGTTTGACAGTTGGGTGTGAATGTATGATTATTGGCTGCTTGCCAGTTCTTCTTGCATTTTTTTGGGTAAGATTATCTTATATTTCACAATAATTAAATTCCTTATCTCTTATACTTTTTTTTTTGGGGAGGAGGAGGGAAATTTGAACCCTTAATCTCATAAAGACACAATGTTCATAAAGTAAACAATACCATTGAACCAAAGATTCATTACCTGGTCTAGTATTTGACAATATTCAAACCCCACACCACAGGGACATTTTAGAAAATAATATATTAATATGCTAAATTAATGTTTTAAGCTAAGTAGTTATAAATAAGTTTATAGTGATTATATAGGCCACTTGGAATAATCTAATTAGATACGACTAATATATTCATATTAAATAATTTAAAATTAAGAAAAATACGGTTTGAAAAGAAAAAAAAATTCAAACCCCTCTCCTAAATTAATTCTTATAGTACAGAGTATAGATTTGAGACACGTCACAACTATTCTAGAATACATAGCATAGATTTGAACACAACTATGGACTTTGGACTGGAAGACCATCAGCTATAATTAAATCATTTGGAAATAGAACCTAGGGCAGCACTAAAATACATGTGAACACAAATGATCTTGAAAGTGTCATTGGATACACATGACCTTTGAAAATAGGGGAGAAGATAATAATATTTAAAGAAACCATATAAGATAATCAATTGATCATATAGAAAAACCTTTCTTGGCCATCTTATTTGAAGTTCATCTTCCGCAAGATGTTGTTCAATATGTTTTCTATTTTATTCATTTTTTTGGCTTACAAGTTGAATTTTATAGAGTCAAAATAGGAGTTCTAGTCAAAAGAAACTATAAAGTGATGGATTTTTTTTCGGGGGTCAACGATTAGGAACATTTGAGTCAATTTATGCGCACATTAATTAATATTTTCTTAGGTTCAATCATAGAAAGATTATCTAACAAAAACGTCTGGATTTATATTTTATCTCTAAAATTACCATAAGACCTTTTCCACGTCCGTGATTATGAAGACAAAATGGGAAATATCTTTTGAACTTTCAAGAGAATGTTAGAAAAATTAAAAACTAGGAGACAAAATAAGAACATTCTTGAAAAGCATTTGTTGCGGGTCATTGCTTGAATAGACCATTGTTCTTGGGAAGAACGAAAAACTAGAAAGGTGGGAATTGTTATCGGCATGGTACGGATTTTCACACATAAAAATATATTTGCATGTCAAAGAGTAATATTTGACCAGTTCTTTCTGGATATCACAATAACACGCAACTTTTATTAGACTCGATCTACAAAATTTGAAATTACAGCATTTGACGAACCAAGATAGCTAATTTTTTTTTTGATCAAAAAATACTACAACACTCCTATTTAAAAGTAAAAGTGTCATAAATTCTTATAACTCATACACATACCCAAAAATTATTCAATGTGAGATAGTTCCAGCCCATCACCACCTAGGCCCAAAGGCCTTCCTGATCTTAGTCGGGCTTTAGAGGAATGCAGTTGAGCCCACATGGAACCCACCCTGAAACGAACACATACCGGTAATTTTTTTTGACTAGAGAACACTACAATAATTCTACTTAAAAATAGAAGTGTCATAGATCCTTATAACTCACACACACATCTAAAGACTATCGGATGTGGGATAGCCCCAAGGTAGCTAATTGAAAAGCCCACCTAATCATGTATTGAAATAATCTTTTCATTCGAATTTCTACCCACCTAATCATGTGTTGAAAATTAAATCGTATGTTTTACCCATTTCAAGGGAGGTGGGTGGGCTTGGTCACAAGTGCATCCGTCATTACCAGGAACGTTGACTCGTCATCATGCATGACTGGCATCCCCGATTTCGACCGCCAGTGTCCAGTGTCCACCACCGTAGCACCGCTGCTCCTATACTTCATTGCCAGTTCCTTAGGACCAGCAATAAAAACTATCATTATACCATTATTACTACCATTCATGCATCATAGATATCTCAAGTGGTGTACATGTCGACCCATTATCCTTGGGTACAATTGCTCAATTGTAATTTGAACCTTAAATTAATATTCGAGATACAAAAATACAAAAATAATCTTCATTACATTAAGACGAAGAGCAACAATTTATGTTGTTATAGTGTGGACAATAATATTAACTTCTCTTTGAATTAATAAAAATTGAATCAAAGAAATCTATTGAATATACTACCGAGATTAATTTATATGTAAAATTATAAATAATCAACATAAGAATTTACAATGTTTCGTTTTTCCTTCTTGTTGCAAATGTGTATGAATACACACACGCACACTGACACACATATAAAAATCCTAAATCAAAAATAATTAAGCTTAACGTAACCAAACATGAAATCACACAACACACAAGAAATCAAACAAAAAATTAAATTGAAAAATAATACTAACATGTATCTCATTAGAAAAATTCATATTGAAAAAAACTCTTTCGTATAGGGTATATGAGAGAAAATAATGAATGAAACTTTAGTTTTGAGAAGATAGATGATGAACTTGTTATTAAAAGGGTGTAAATAGTATGAGGTGAACTTAGTTAAAATGGGAGTGGGTATAAAAGGAGTGAATTTAATAATTTCATTACAAAAGTTTTAATAGAGTGCGAATGGATATTTATAGGGTGAGAATTGTCCCACCCTAAAATTATATATGTTTGATCATCTCTAAACCTCGTAGTGACAAAAAACTTGGACCATTTTTGTGTTTTTTCATTTAATAAGATGAAAAGATTAAAAAAAAATCAAGCATAAGTAAAGATCAGAGAAAGTGAAGTAAATATTGGGTGTAACCGTGATGCCACATTATCATCAGTAATGTTATATTTACTAAATTTTGCATTTAAAGTGATGTAGTACAATCTCCATCATTGTATATTAATGAGATTTATTTATTTGATGATGTAAATTGTGCCACATAACTCAGGATGAAAATTTTGGCAAGAGATCTTGTTCAACATATTATTGTTGCATTATCATTATCACATGGTATCACCAAGTAATTTGTAAAACAACAAATAAGATGGTTAACTCCACTATTCTAATATGACAGAGGTAGTTGTTAGTAATTAGTAAAACACTGGAGCTTATAAAATTCACTTGATATTCTATCATTAGTTGGTGACACTACATTATTAACGTCACGTGGTGTTACCATTATATCCAATACTTTTTTTCAAAAAATAGGTTTTATGGATAGGACCCACAAAGTTATACACCTAGCAATTATAGTCAAGTTATTTTGTTGAGTAATGTAATTCAGACCTAATTATTTGACCTAAAAAATATTTGCATGGTGATGTGGCATCAGACGGGAACATGCCACGTCAACAATTTTTCAAATCACCAATTTTTTGAGAATTTCCCTTTCCAATGTCATTACTCTATGCCCAATATTCTCTCTCTGTGATTTCCTCCTCCCCCTCCTCTTTATCGGCAGCCACACCACTCTCGCCAGCGTAGTGGAAGCACTGTTGACCGTAGCACATTGCGCTATTGCTTTTTTTGCCATGTGACGTGTGTGTAAGCATAGAGAGAGAGAGTGACATTAATATGTAAACTATGCATAACATAATAATTTGAGTTTATAACTCGTCTCTAAAATTATTACGAATTATTTACATGTCTGGGTCATTGCTTGAATGGACCATTGTCCTTGGAAAGAACGGAAACCTACTCGATCGATAGTACACATGAAAATACATTTGTATGTTGAATTATAAAATCTAGCTTTTTCTAGATATTGCAATAACACGAAATTTTTGTTAGACCCAAGCGACTAGATTTTAAATTAAAGCATTTGACATAGCAAGGTGGCTAATTGAAAAGCCCACCTAATCATGCGTTGAAATAATCTTTTCATTGGAATTTCTATCCACCTAATCATTTGTTAAAAATTGAAAGTACGTTTTACCCATTTCAAAGGTGCGTGGGTGGGCTTGGTCACAATTGCATCCGTCATTCCCAGGAACATTGACTCATCCTCATGACTGGCGTCTCTCATTTCGGCCGCCAGGGTCCTGCGTCCACCCCCGTAGCACCGCCGTTCCCATACTTCATTGCCTGTTCCTTAGGACCAGCAACAAAAGCTATCATCATACCATTGTTACTACCATCCATACATCACAGATGTCACTAGTGGCGTACATGTGGAGCCATTATCTCTGGGTACAATTGCTCAATTGTATATTCAACCTTAAATTAAGTATTTGAGTTACCTAAAGAATTTTTGGGTACAAAAATAAAATTATATATATTTGACCCTCTCTAAACCTCGTAGTGATAGTAGACTCCGCCCATTTTATATATGTTTTTTATTTAATGAAATGAAAAGATAAGAAAAAAATCATGAATAAGCAAAGAGCGGAGAAAGTGGGTGTCGCAAATATGACCCACCAAAGTTTGACACCTGGCAGTTGTGATTGAATTATTTTGTCGAGTAATACAATTCAGACTTAATTGTTTGAACCTAAAAAATAATGCGGTAATATTATGCTGACAAAATTTTGGGACCAAATTAATAATCTAAATGACTTGACAGCATATTATTTGAAATTTTTATTGAGACTCAAATGATATGACACCAAATAAAAAAGTCCAAGTCAACTTTCATGTCATTTGGGCTTTTGAATTTATTTCAAAATTTGATCAGTATAACATTATTCAAAATAGAGCAATGCTACATGGATTTAAAAACTAAACTTGATAATCTCAACTATTGATTTCACTATGGGTCCCATTATTTATTGAAATCCACTATTTATTCGATGATTGAAATTATCAAGTCTAATTTTTAAGTTCATTTAACATTATTCTTCAAAATAATGACACGGTGATACACCTGGCATCTGACATGGATTGGAGTGAGATCATAGAGAGGATGTGGATCCCACCAAATCCACCGTGTCCTCTTCTAGTTGGTGGCCTTTACCTGTGATTTCCTCCTCCCCCTCCTTCTCATCGGCAGCTACACCATTATTGCCGGCGCCATCGAAGCCTTGCCGGCCGTAGCACATTGCCCCGATGCTTTTTTTGCCATGTGACTTGTGTGTAAACATCGAGAGAGGTGATATAGTGACATTAATTGTTAACAGAACAAAAAAATTCAGATTCTAAATATTAATTAAATAAATGTGCAAATGTCGCTGCAAATGACTAATGTTGGAGACTATTGTCGGGAAGAAATTAGCATGATTACACAAATTTCAATTCACAAATTAATTTTGAAATCTCTAGTGTTTGATGGATTTTGGATTGTGGTCATTTCAAAGTACGAATGGATTTAAAATTTTTAAACACTAATGAACTTATTTACTTGAATCGGAGTAATATTTTAAAATCATGACTGTTCAACCAACTATAATAAAACATAAATTATTTTTAGACTATTTTTTTTTGTCTTAGAGATTAAAGACTTGAACAATTTTTACTAAAACAACTTAAGGAACTAGAATTTCAGAAAGGTACTAGAATTAAAAAAGACAATAAGATAAATAACAAAAAGTGTTGTGTAAATTATTGTACTTAGCATTAATTGAAAAGATAGATCAGTGAAATGATGGTTACAGAGTAAAGAAAAATGAGAGAATTAACCAAGGCGTGTCGATTGCTGGTTGAAAACTATTTCCAAACCCCCTCATTGGCCTGGGTTTTGCCTAGGCTATTGAGAATTTCTGGAAGGGCTCCTCTCGGGTTAAAGCCCTACATAAAAAAAAAAAAGAATCAGTTAAGATAGAATAAAACAAACAATATAAATTAGAAATAAATGACATTCAAATTCAAGAATCTTGTAATCACTGTTCTAAAATAGCTGAATATTTTTGCTTAAGAGTTTAACAGATATCAACGATTCTAAAATTAAGCTCAAATGTTTGTAGCAACACTTGCCCAATATTTACGTTCACTAGAAAGTATGAAAAAATCTAACAAGAATAAAAGTTGTCCGAACAAATAATGTATATAAAGTATTTTAGATTCTAAATAGGAAATAGAATACGTGGGAACAATGTATAACACTGGACTAGTGTAATATAAAAACTATGGAAAGAAAAATTCTTGAGAAAGGTAGAGGCAAAATAGTTGGGTATTAATGTAACACATTAAGAAGAATGACATAAAATTGATAAATAAATATAAGTTGAATTAATATTTAACATTTATAACACATTAAATAACTCGAACACAATTGAAAAATAATCAACACGGACCCAACAGCTACACATGAATTGACACCCTACAAAGACGTAAGATGGCGTACGTCCATTGACTTATACAGGTGATAAGCAGTAATAATTGCTATAAGGACTTTGAGTATCTCATTAAATTAGCAACGGCTTAGAATGCACAGACTATCAAATTCAACGAAAACTGACATTCCAATCAAACCCAATTTAATTAGCTCCCATGTAACAGATGAACTCCCAAATTAAATTCAAAATATATAAGTTTTAAAAACTTCTTATTTGTATCTACCAACTAACTGGTAGAACCACTTGGGGAAGAAACAGCCACACAGACACATTTTTCAGTAAAAACAAATGTTGTTGATGATGCACAAAAATAGTTTTACACACCACCTGTCAACTGTAAATAATAAATGCAGTGAAATCAATGAAAAAATTAAAGAAGACACGATTTATAGTGGTTCGGTCAATTTGATCTATGTCCACTCTTCAATGGCTTTAGTTGCCGGGTATTTTATTAATTCAGAGGTATGGAGAATAGAGATACAAGCTTTGAGAGAATGAAGAATCAAAGAAGGAGTGGTCTCCGGTCGTCAGTCTGTCCTCTGTAAGTGTTGGTGGGGCGTGACATTCATCTCTCGTCTCCTCATAGATTGGGGCTACTTTATAGCAGCTAAGAGATCATTCTTGTGGAGATCATGACTTATCCTCAAGACTATTTTATCGCAGCTAAGAGATTATTCTGGTGGAGATCATGACTTATCCTCAAGGCTACTTTATCGCAGCTAAGAGATCATTCTGGTGGAGATCATGACTTATCCTCAACGGAAGGAGGAGGTTGAGGAGCTCTTCATGAAACGTGGTCAAAGCTTGGACCGTTTCCTTCGGTGGTGCAGATAAGCTTCTCATGCTCTCCTCTTAATGACGTGCTAAGCAAAAAGTCTAACCGGTCTTGGACTTGGTAGCTTCAAAATGAGGTTGGGCTCCTCAACTGGAGTTGGACTTTAACACATAAATTGGACTATTTGGGCTTAACCCATCATTTGCCCCCTAATGCCCCATGTCCAATGAGACTTGGAGAAGGAGGCATTGACTATATTATTATTATTATTCTTTTTTTTTTTAACTTCAAGTCTTTCCCACTTTATTTTGAAAAGGGCCCATAATATTCTATTTGACCTTTTTATTTTGAAAAGGACTTATAACTTTATATTTGACCACTTTATTTTGAAGAGGGCCCATAATTTTCTATTTGGGCTTTTTCCCTCTTTTTGAAAAACCCTAGACTATAAATATAGTCTTCTTCTTCATGTTACCCATTTCACTCATTTTTAAGTTGAGCACCCACCTCTTGAAAATCTTGAAAACTCAAGTCCTACCCATTTTGTTGAAGCCAAAGTGTGTTCTCCTTGAATCCTTTCAAGAGTGTGATTTCTTCCTTGCTAGTTGAGCTTCTCAAGTAAACAATGTCGATTGAAGAGGGAGTGGTGGAGGTTGAAGAAAGGGAGGAAGTAGACACCATTTTGGAGAACTTGGAGGCTGGTTTTGAGCATTCGAATGTTGTTTTGGACAGCTTTGGGGCTGTAAATGAAGGGCTGGACAGCGAAGGGGAGATGGGCAGCACGAGGAGTGGCTTGGGCAGCGAAGGAAAAAGGCTGGGCGTGCGACTGGACAGCCTAGGCGCGCGGCTGCGCAGCGCAGGCGCGCAACTGGGCAGCTCGCGCGCTCGCGGTGGGGGGCTAGGCGGTTGCCTGGGCTCTGCTCCTCCTGTCCTGGACAGCCCAGGCGCGCTGGGCAGCAGCCTGGTTACTGCGTCTGCTGTCCCGGATAGCTCAGCTGCGCTGGGCAGCTTCAGTTCTGCTGCGCTGGGCGACTTTGGAACGTTGGACAGCAGTATTTTTCCATCAAGGGGCGTTGAAAATCAGTCCAAAGTTCATCAGGGAGAGCTAGGCAGTGGCCTGAGAGCACGGACTGATCCGATTCTCACTCGAGGCGCTGATTTGGGCCCCTTAGGTGCTGATTTTTGAGCCAAAAATTCTGCTTTGCGCAATTTTGAAGGGCCAGACACCCTTCAAGCTACTGGGCATCCTTGTTTTGACGAGCAACAGCAGTCAGGCACGCTTCCAGGTGTTGGGCTAGACATTGCAAATAGTAAGGAAGCTTTGGGTGCTACTCTTGGTGATCAAGCCCCTATTGTAGCTCCCCCGATTCAAGTTCCTCAAGACTCTCCCAATGGTGATTTGGACTACTCCTTAAGGCCCCGGAATAAGAAACACAAGAGCAAAGTGGGACTTGATGATGACGGGTCTAAGGTGAGCACCCTTTCTAGTTTGTTTCGCTTAGATGAAGATATTTCAAGGCTTGTTTTTACTTATCGCATCCCTCCGACCGTGTTGTGCTGTCGGGCTGAGTTGGGCGAGCTTGCTTGCGACGACTCTTCCGGGGATATTGTTTTCTACGAGGAGATGCTTGAGGCTGGGTTAAGATTTCTCATGTCCTCCCCCATTTGTCGTGTTTTGCATTACTTTTCCTTGACTCCGGGGCGACTAGCGCCCAACAGTTGGAGAGTCTTGCTTGATTTTCTTGCATTATGGAGAAAGGCACCACGAGGATGCTTCCCTATGGAGTTTCATGCAACATATAATTTGAGCGAAACCCCTATACCAAATAGGGGATGGTACTATTTTACCGCACGGAGTGGTACAGTGCTTACAGGAACGCGCTCTAATTGCGGTGGCTGGAAATCTTGTTTCTTCTTTATTGGTGGAGAATGGGCTTCAGAAGCCGACAGAGTTTTGGTGCCAACACTTTGGGGTGCTGCTAAAAAACCCGGTATGCTGCACACTTCTTCTCTTCCTTTTTTTTTTGTATGTGTGTGCTCACTTTTTCCATGCAGATATACCTGTGCTTTCCCGGGACCAGGAGTGGAAATTGGAGGCTGTCAAAGCTTGCCCTTGTAAAGATTTGGGAGTTCTCCTGCCCAAGTATATACTAGAGCTGTTGCTCCATCTCAGAAATCTGGCGGCTCCTCTTCGAAGAAAAGGGGTGAGCTAGTTTCCTCTCCTTTTTTTTTTTTTATCTAACCCTTCTCTACTCTTGCAGCAAGTAAAAGGGTGGTGGTGTCCCGCTTTTCTAGCAGGAGCCCTCCTTCTTCCAAAGTGGCAAGGAGGGATGATGCCCCCCATGTGACTCCCACGGTGGCTCCTTCTCAACTGGCAACTTCTCCAGCTGCTACTCCAGAATCTTCTTTGCCAGGCACATTTGTTCCACCTTTATCCTCTCCTCGTGCTACCCCTCCTTTGTCTCCTCCTTGTTCAGGAACTTCTACCCGAGTGCCGATTTGGGCTGGTCCTATAATGGGGAGACCGACAACTATCAAGGCAAGGCTTGGCAGGTTTGTGTTTGGGCCAGAAGTTTCTGAGCTTAGCGCTTCGGGCACTGATAATATCGTCAACACGTTTTGGAAGGTCTGGCTCAGGTAAGGGTTTGTTATTTCCTTTTCTCCAGTCGTTTCCTGTGTTTTTGACTTTTCTTAATCTCTTGTCTTTTTTTTTTTAAGGTTTCGACTTCCTCCATCTGCTTGCTTTCGAGGGCCTATAATCAAGACAAACTGAAGCTGGATCTTAGCCTTGTGCAGAGGGAGCTTGATTATGAGCTTTTGGAGACCCGTGAGAGGGACGTGCTCCGGGAGGGTGAACTTGTGGCAGCTCATGAAAAAACTTCTAATTTTGAGTCCGAGCTTTTGGCGGCCTGCGAGAGGGACACGCTCAGGGATGGTGAGCTTGCTATAGCCCATGAGAGGGCATTAAGCTAGAGGCTGAGCTTTTGGCAGT